GCTTACGACAAATTTGTCGTCTCTTTTCGTTCTAGAACCGGTTCCCTTCTTTAGTAATAGCTGCGGTGCTATCACAATGAATCAACTACCGGAGGGATCGGTCTTTCCCATAAGGGAATCTCTAGTAATGACCCTCTCAATCAACTTTCCTCTTTACTAGCCATTGCTAGTTCTATCATTTCCGTTTTCTTAGTTGATTGAGCCAGGATCGTTTACTTCTTAGACTTCCAAGACATAGCTTCTCTATCGATGTTTAAAACACATCCTCTTGTTGTCTTGGAGTCCTCTATAAGGTATTCTAATCCGCATCATTATACCCTACCAATACAGCAAAACCTTTGATAACAAATACCAAGGTTTTTCTGTTCTTTTAAGGTGTCTCATGACCCCTTTCAATAGCATTTCAATGCTTCATACTAGGACAATCAGTAAGCCTGCCAAGTACCCCCACTATGTCGGGTCTCATGTTTATCAGCTGCCTCTCGCAGACTGTCGATGCTAGTATGTTCTTACTTTCTTACACCGTCTTTGGTGCTCTTAAAAAAAAAAAAAAAAATTTATACGAGCATCATCAAACATGTATGCAGGTGTACATCTTGTATTTTCCTAGTTATTAGGATCTCTACGCATAACATTTGTTTCATTCAGATCCTTCACATTCAAAATTCTCAACCATCATGGTTTTTCAATATTGACATCACGAGTCTTTGTACCAAAGATCGACGTGTCATTCATAATGCAAGTGTCATTCTCAAATTTGTACTAAATGCACTTGTCACTTTCACTTTTAAAACCATGTGAGAGAACCAGTTTATTCATGCCATCGTCTTAGAGTCTATTTCAAATCTTACAATGATTTGTCTAACTATAGACTCCCTAAGCATGTTCAAGAATAACAACCCTATAGGTTGTCCCATGTAGATTTTCCTATCTAAATCACCATTCAAAGAAACATGTTTAACAATCCATCTGACGCACAACACTAGCAATCAGAACATACATGGACGTTATTCTACATATGGTGAATAGATAACAAGAAAATTTACAATTTTTCCTTTTCGCTTAAAGATGTCAAATCTTGTTCGATTCTATCGATATATTACCCAAGGCTTTTCAACCAAGAGGTAACTCTACAAGATTTTAAGTCTTATTAGACTCCAATAATTCCATTTCGTTAATAATGGATTCTCCCACAATTCTGCATCTTTATGGAAGTTCGAACTTCTAGCAGACTTGTAGGATCTTTCTTTCTTAGGGTGTGAATAACAAATTCATAACCAAAATCCTTTCGTGATTTATGGTTCATTTGTTTCTTTTGAGTTTAAACTCAGATTTATTACCCCCACTAGTTCCATTATTTCTAATAGTAGGCAGGACACTACCCCCACTATTTCTTGATTTAGAATGGAAGTTTCTTGGCATTAATGGAATTCACGACATGAGTATTTCGTTTCATAGGAACTATGTGTTTTTATTGTTGACAACATAAAACACACTCATATGCTCTTCTAGTTATCATTCTACACTGATTCTCTAACGCTACCACATGCATGCCACATATCGAAAAATCAGTGCAATCATAATGCAATTAGGCATTTCAAACCATTTCAAATAACTAGTCAGACAATCAGAGCACTCTAAAGAGCAATAAATTATTTATTGTCTTTTCCATCAAGTTTACCCATATCAACATAAATCAGATCTATTTATTCTCATTCTCTAATCACATATTGTGGGTCATTTAGCTTGGATATAGAAAATTCATATTTTTCTCAAGCATCCTATAATAATATGGGAATGCGATATAAGATATTCTAATTCTTCACACAGACACACTTGGAAGAATTAATCTTATCTACTTAGCCATTCCTTACATCTAGGATAGTCAATGACTTTCTAGAGGTATGATTCTTTTCCACTTTCCCATAACCAACATCAATAGTGGTGAGGGTCTTGCCCAACAACATTTTCTCCTTCAATACGCCTCAATTATGTATGATTGAGCTTAGCTCGTTTATCACACACATGCCTTGAGGCGGCAGTTTCCAACAACCATTCTTCAGAGTTACCATTAAGGCTAACCTCTATCATCACCTAAGCGATTATTATTACCAAATCCTCTTATTTAATCAAGTTAACACAATACTATGTTAAACTTGTTCTAACACTTTCGTGTCATATGACCTAGTTTTCCTCAAATTTAATTGAGAACATAGCGTCATTCTTAGAGGATTGAGTGGCAATCTTATGGTTACCACGAAGGGTACCATTCTATTTGGTGTGGATCTGGTTCAGCTTGCTGCTCTCATTCTTGAAACTTTAATGTTTCACAGCAACCTAAGTGGTTCGTGTAGTACTGATAATAGTACTTCTTATAATATCGTTATTATGGGCAATAAACCCATTCTATTCCCATATATTCTTCACATATATGCATGCATTTAAACAAAATTATTATACTCCATAACATGTACTCAATTTATGCTCTAATCATCAAGATACGTAGTATATCTCAATGTCAACTTATTCATGCATCAGTTCTAGCTTCTTCTCTAACATTCAACATGTTTCTCAATTCCATGCTCAAATCTATATTGAATAGAATGCAATTTTGTCACTCATAGTTGAGAAGTAAGGTTTCAGTTCTTACCTCTTTTCAAGAAATCATTGCATTCTGAATTAGTAGCGAATAGCTAGCACCACGCATAGCTTCCTTATTTCTTGATAAATTTGCTGGCAAAGGGCAGCTTTGACAATTGATGTTAGCACTTAACATCACGCCGCATACTTGCTTTATGGTGGTCGAGTATGACTTCCATGTCCTACCGGCGCAGACACATTCAGCCGGTCCACGAAGAAGCTTTTAATTGAAGTTCTTGCTCATCAAATACAGTAGCGGCAGCAACATGAGAGGGGAGCTGGGTTTCTTTTACCCATAATAGTTCCAGGCCCACTAAATTTAGAAGGCCTAAGTAACTTCACAGATGGACACGTTTGTCTACTTGTCCTTTTGTTGGTGGCACTTGGAAATTGATTGGACCTCTGGCCTTTTTCATTAATTTGGCTCGGGACGGGATTGCCGTGAGGCATTCATTCCCGCTAACCATCGTTCCCCAGCCTGCTTCCGTGGCAGTGGGCCGGACCCGGAAACATCCCCCCACCGAGAAGGACGAGCTTAGGGTTGATCATCTTCTTGTCGCCTTCTTGCTGGTAATTCACCTGTTTCCGCTGTTAAAGTCAGCTACCGACTCCAGCCAAAGTAGCAACATGACGAACAGGAAGACCACCCGGGATCGTTTCAATCACCACAAGAAGACGCCTCGCCGTATCTACTTATTCTTTTTCCGCGGAATCCACCAATGAACCGACAATTAGTCGATTCAGCAAATTATGTTAGGCTGCTCCTGCAATTGAACGAAAACAACAAGGCCTCTTCTAGGCAATTATCAGTGCAGGAAATTTCTCTAGCAGACAAAAACATCCACTAGACGTTGTTATTCCCCAATAAAACAGAAAGGATAAATCAAAACCATAAGTCGTAGAATCGGCAGAACCACAATTCCCTCGATTTCACTACCGACTAAAGTTGATCGACTCCCGGCGGAGGACCAGGTTCTGAAACCAAGGCATTCTGCCTTTCCCTTGTGACCGTACGCAAGGCCACACCGTCAGCAAGCTGCTTCGTGAAGGGCACAAGATCATATTGCTTCCTTTCCGTCGACCTGGGGCAAACAACAATCGCGATGCGCGGCAAGAACAACACAGAAGTTCCGGTCGATAGATCGGCACGGCGATAGTAATCGAGCCAGAATCGGTATCCTGTTCGGTACACATGACAGCAACCAGACGTCTTAAAATTGTTAGAAACCGAACAGAAAAATAGGGTTACCGATCTGGCTGAGTCGCGGACTAGGTCGCTCTCTTTAAGACGTTCGCGGCACTGCCTTCGTTGCGCACGGCAGACTATCAGCCGGTCGCCTCCAGGATAAAACAGCCATTCTTATTTTGTTGCTCATCGGTTTTGTGCGAAAACCGGAGCTCTATGAACTCACTCTCTATCTCGTGTTTCTGCTCTCTGAGGTGTGTTTAGAGGGTCTGGGGCGTCTCCTATTTATAGGAGCAGAAAACCCAGAATATTCCCTCTTTCTTTGGGAATAAGTCATATTTTAATTAGGGAGATAATTACTCCCATAATTAAAATATATTATCTATTAAGATAATTATTCCTAATTATCTCCATAATATTCCTTTTATTAATTATCCATCTTAATTTCGTATTATGGGAAAATACTGGATAATTAATTAGGAATTTCATTATAGATTTTCAAAGCTATTCATCCTAACAAAATGTAATTATATTCATTTGTATATATCAACCCGCCATATGATACACGATAGATTTCGGCTTGTAAATAATAATCAATGTTCTGTGATAAAATAACAAACTTTTCCCATCCTCAGTCTTATTCCTATAGCTAGCGCTATATTATCCAAAAGCTGCTCCACTTGATCTAGTCCCCTGTTCTCATTTATGTTCTACCTTAGAAGGAATTCTTAAGACAATACATAAAAAAGGCAGGACTTTGGAACTTTTGACACCATGTTGGTCAACTTGGGCTAATTTGGACTTTGGAACTTCTACATACATATATATCAACCCATGTTGATTAATGTCACGTAGATTATGATCAAAGTTGCATGTGACAGAAGAGAGCATTATGGATCCTTCCCTAACTAAAATGGACTTCATTCAACATACGAGGAAGAAAAGTAAAACTTTCGTATAAAGTTCGGTCCAATACCAACAAAAATGCTCCCTAGCTACACACGTACGTACCCATGTCACTATATTCTATATCCTTTGATCACGTCGATCCCTCTATAAATGTGTCTCTCTCTATGCTCCCAATTCTTCACACAACCATCCAACGTACAAAGCAAAAAAAAAAACAAGCCTTACTCCAAGAACAAACGTCACTAAGCTTACCTAGCTCGAAACAATGAAGGGGGCGAGAGCAAGTGCAATGTTGCTAGTAATGGTTCTACTCTCCATCACTCTCTCCTCCGCCTTCGCGGCAAGATCGCTGGCCGAAACCCTAGCCACATCATCACTGACCCCACTTCCCGTCCTGGACGTGAACGGGAAAGTGGTCCGATCAGGAGCCAACTACTACGTCCTGCCTGCGGTGAGCGGGGAAGGTGGCGGGGTGGCTCTGGCTAGCCTGACCAAAGATTCAGAGAGCTGCCGCAAACCGTAGTTCAAGATCAAGACGAGATCTCTCAAGGTATCCAGCTCACTTTTGGGCCCGTGAACACCAAGTCAGGCTACACGGTCCGTACTTTCACGGATCTTAACATCCGGTTCGTGGTGGACACGCCCTGCGAGGAGGGAACCGTGTGGAAGGTGGACGACTATGACGATGATGTGCAGCAGTGGTTCGTTGCGACCGGTGGGGTCGAAGGGAACCCTGGTCCGAGGACGGTGAAGAACTGGTTCAAGATCTGGAAGTACGGTTCCAACTATAAGCTGACGTATTGTCCCGCGGTTTGCAAGTCGTGCAAGGTCGACTGCAAGGATGTCGGGATTTACGTGGATGAGAATGGCGGGAGGAGGTTGGCTCTGGTTGACAAAGATGGGGATCCTTTCGTGATAAAGTTCGTCAAGGCTGATTAGTTGAAGAAATTGATGATTTATTAAGGATCATATATAATTAATTAATGTAAGCTTTATTCATGTATTTTTGAAAGTTTGGAATAAGGGCTATTCATGCTCAATATATGGATTGTAATGTTGTGTTTGTCTCGATATAGGAGGACTTGAAATTGATGTACTTCTATAAGTTTATACTATTCGTAGTTCAAAATTTGAAAGTAATGTATCTCAAATTTAAAGTTATTCAAAATCCATTGTCTTTGAGATTTTATTTTTTCTGTATTAAACACAACAACTCATAAATTAACTCGAGAATTCAAGGTTTGCTTGATCGTTTCTGTCACACGAGCTAGTTTGCTCGAGAAAATGATAGAATTGAGAAGAAAGTTTAAGAGAATTAGGAAAAACAATGCATGATTAATTGGAATTGAAAACTAAGATAAAAGAACAGAGAATTGGACATAAAAGAGACATGACTACGGTTGGATTATCCTATAATAAGAGTACATGGTGGAGTTTAACAAAAAATGCTCGCCGATACGAAGGGGTGTGACACACATTCTTGGCAGAACTTATGACACTACGTGACTTTATTGCAGAGTGGACGAAGCGAAGATGGAACCAATTCACATTTTGTGGAGATGCCAAATTTGGAATATGCTAAGGGCGGTACTATATTGAAAGAGGTTTTCATATTTTTGGATGAGTATCTTCTTATTTTGTTTGACGTTAGGTAACAAGGTTTTTCATTTAGTAGGATGTCACACTCTGCTCATTGCCTCGATTGTTAATGGGGTTCAACTTGTTTTTTTTTTTTTAATTTAGATAATGGCGATGAACTTTTATTGCTAGGAAAAGCAGAAAGAAAACAAAAGACTATACACGCAAAGGAGATCACAAGGACTGATCTCACAGTGCCACGAACAAAAGAAAGAAAATAAACAAACAGAACTACAAAGAACGAAAAGCAGCACGAGAAACACACGATAAATTGACAAAGAAAAGTGGACCAGACCGCTCCTGCTTGTCGAGGGAACAAACGAGACACAACAACTAAGGAACGATAGAACGACATGACCAAAGCCAAAAGAACACCTGAACTGACCTATAGAAGGGCAATCAACCGGAATACCTAAGTTACACCTCAAACACGTTACTACTAGTACAAACGCACAATCTCCCAAGCCTCCACCCATCAGTAGGGAACTACAAACATCACGATCTCTCCAAAGCAGCTCCCAACAAATATACATCAAACGTGCTCCACGAACCGCCAGGGAAACTAACCTGCAAAACCCGACATGCAACAACTCCAAGTCCGGCCTCGCCGCCACGGATCAGCAGATCAACAAGCTCTCATACAACCAAGACTCACCCTGAATTTTATCAAATTGACCATGGGACACCAACCATTCCATCGCGTTCCTCGCTGCTCTTCTAGCTACCCCGATGGCAGTCGACTTCTTCTCTTCGAACACCCGCTGGTTCCTTTCCAACCACACGAACCACCAAACCGCGTGTAAGATACAGTCTCTAAACCACTCCCCGACGTTTCCCGACTTGGAATGAGGGCTGTGTTTGATTATTAATTCCACCTCCCTGTCTTGGTAGGACGACACTGATCTAAGTCTGTTGATATGGCTCAACACTTCCTTCACAAACTCACAATCCACCAGTAGGTGATTAATGGATTCTTCATTTCTACAACAGAGACAACATTTGTTCGCCATCGATCACCCTCTCCTCTTCAAGTTGTCAACCGTGAGTATCTTGTTATGGAAAATCATCCACATAAAAAAGCACACTTTACTAGGGATCATCTTCTTCCATACTTGTTTCAACAGAAAATCATGCACTCGTGGCAGCGTTTCCTGCACAAGTTTCCTGTATAAAGAGCTCACCGAGAACTTACTGTTTGGATCAGGATTCCAAACTATTCTGCACGAACTAAGAGCGTTATTGTTCATGGGAATATTATTAAGAAAGTTCAACAATTCTACCCTTTCCCGTTCAGCACCCCCCTCAAATTATATTTAAGGTTGAAAGACCAACTCACCATTGAGGGATACTATATCGGAGAGTCTTGCTTCGAAGTCGACAGCGGCACCAGCAACGCGGGGAAATGCAGAAGACAACACCATCCCCTGATTCCAAACGTCGTGCCAAAACGAAATCATGGTACCATTTCCCGGGTCTAGGCTTGCAAACTTTCAAAATAGCTCGTATTCTTTCGTTATGTTCACCCACACCGATTGAGAAAACCCACTTCTAACCTTTTCCGTTTGCCAAACCGAGGAGGGGTTGTGGTACTTGATATCGATAATCTTGCGCCACCAACTATCTCTCTTCGTTGCGAACCGCCACAACCACTTGGACATCATTGCATCATTGAAAGCTTTCAGATAATGAATTCCCAGCCCACCCTTGCTTTTCTCGGTTTTGCAAAGTTTCCAATCCACTTGGGCCCTTCTATTGCTGTCGCGCCCACCGTTCCATAAGAACCTCCTCTGAGTTCTTTCCAATTCCTGGAGAATCGAAACAGGTGCCTTGAATAGGGAAAACATGTACGTAGGCATGCTCCCTAGAACCGCAGTGCACAAGACCAGCCTAGCTCCGTATGATAGATGTCTGCTCCCCCAGCCGTTAAGTTTACTCTTCATTTTGTCGATCATGGATTCCCAAATTGCCGGATCGTTCGGTTTGGCTCCCAGAGGGAAGCCGAGGTACTTCGGAGGCTCTCTGCTCCATTTGCACCCAAAAATAGCAGCATAGAAACTAGGATTGGCCACATCGCCGACAGTATACATCACTGACTTGTCCAGATTTAACCTTAAACCGGCCACAGACTGGAAACACACAATAGTAGCCAGAATATTCAGAACCTGATCATGATTGGCGTCGCAAAATATCACTGTATCGTCGGCAAACAGGAGGTGGGTAACTTCGCCATTTTTTGAGTCTTCGTTCATGTAAAATCCTTCGAATTTTCCAGCTTCCCTAACTACTTTCAGCATCATTGACAAAACATCCATAACTAGTACGAACAAACCCGGTGAAAGGGGATCGCCATGACGAAGACCTTTAGAAGCTCTGAAATACCCAGTAGCTTCACCGTTAACCAAAACAGAGATCATAGAGGAACACATGGATCCCTTTACCCAACTCTTCCTTTTCTCCGAAAATCCCAGACCTGAAAGAATCTTGAACAAACATTCCCAGTTCACGATGTCGAAGGCCTTCTCAATATCAAGCTTAAACATGAGGCCGAGCTTCCTGCTCTTCTTTCTACTATCAACTTGTTAATGCTCCCAATCAAATTTACTGATAAGTATTCTGGTCAATAAAGAAAATAATGTAGCGAGATTTATTGAAGAGGTTATGGTGAGGTTACATTACGCTTCTTCCTGTTGCGTTATTATCACTTAGCAAGTAGTGAGAATTTCTTCCTCGAGCGACTCTATTTATCATAAAAGTGGTGGTCGGGTGAGTACATCTAACAACTCTGCACCCAACCTTCTCATCACCTAAGTGCAATTCTGTTAAAAGCGCGATTCTATCTAGAAGCGCAAAAGGGGTAAAATCGTAAAGCGTAGAATTAAAGCGCAAAAACGCAAGTTTTTGACGCATACTGTAAAAGAACTAAAAATATGTTAAGTACGACAAATACTATGTAAAATATGAGTGCACAAAATTTAGATAAGTTAATAAATACTTGTAATTCATGTCTTTTTTTTTCTTTTTTAGAACTTGCAATTCATGTCTAAAGTAGAGCAACTTATAGCATCTTAATAATAAGTTCATAAACATAAATCTTATCAAGAAGCCACCTTCCCCTCTATGCTAATAAATTTGGGAAGAGCCTAGATGGTGAATTAGATTACTTTATTGAAGTTCAGAATGCATCCAAGTATCTGGTATGTATCTTTTAATTTCAAACGTATCATATTGTTGGTGGTTTATTTTTAAAATGTACTCTTTATAATTAATTTCATGAAAAGAATACCCATTCAGTGAAGTAAAAGCGTAAAGCGTTTTAGTGAACCAAAAGTGTAAAAGCGTAAGTTTTTAAGTTTTAAAGCTCAATTTAGTCTGATTTTATACACTAAAGTTTTTACATAGAAACGAAAGCGTATTGGTGACCTAGAAGCGTAAAACCGTAAGTTTTTAAGTTTTAAAGCGCGATTTTGACTGCATTGCCTAAGTGAACAAAGTATCGGTAATAGGAAGCCTTATTTGATATAGGTAGGCAAGATAACACTTTGGGTCACATTAAAAAAATTCCTCTGTACAACTAAGACTTAATCTATTTCTAACAATTCAAACTAGTAGGATATTAGCCAAACCAAACTAGTCCCAGTTCAGCGTGATAAAATTCAATGACTTCTCCACTATAATTCTTTCGCCCCTATGTGAGAACCGAAGGGAGAATTGTTGACTTCACCAGAAGTTTGTTTGGACTCACGACTTGGATAGACTTATGAAGACTTTCCTCTCAAACTAGGCGAGGCTAGCTTTATTGTCCTAGTAAAAGTACGACCAAGATTACCAAAAATATGCCATGAATCAATAATCAAATAGGGATCCATTTGTGGATCTCTACCAACCAACATCCCAACTAGAAAGAATAGATTGGCTTAGGGGAAATCAATGGGCCCTTATACTTCTTTATCCTTACTTACTATTGCCTACCTTATTGGGTACAATTCCAAGTTTCAACCTCTCCCATATTCTGTCGATCTCCACTACGCCCTCAAATCAACCCATTTACCCATATCCTAAAACCTTATAAATACCACCCCCTCCTCTCCACTTAATTCCTCACAACTCACAAATCCCCATCCTCCACAAGAAAATCCAATACAAAACAACAACCTTTTTTTTTTTTTTGTCATAGATAGATCGTTAATAGATAGGGAATTACAATTCGATGAAAAGTACAAGCGGAAGTCAACCTAGTGTTGAGCTTCCGATGCAAGAGCCGTTTACGCCACGCAATGGGCAGCCCTATTAGTATGACTAGAAGCATATATAAACGAATAAACGTAAAGGAAGTCTTCAAGCGACAAACTTCTTGAAGCACCAATTCTTCAAATACATACTTCACGTCACCAATAGTCCGAGTCCCAATAGCACACCAGTAGAGCTTATGTACATGCCAAATAAACAGTGCGATCTTTGCCAAGTAAAGGTTACTCACAACAAAAGCAAAGAGATCAGAGAAAAAAGTAACCGGAAAATCTACTAATAAATTTCAAGCACCAATAATAGATAAGATCAAACAATAAAAAGAATAACGCTAATTTAGTGGAACTTATCTCTCACCACACAGAGCTAGACTTAGAACGGCAAGCTGATCCAATCAAATCATCACAAAGAAAGCAATAATAGTGGGCAATTGGATTAATGGGAAGCAGAGATAGAAAGAAGTAAAAACATAATCATGAGGAAGACTAATAAAGAACTAATAAACATCAAAACACAATTAAATTGCACAAAGTTACGTGAAGAAGGGGAAAAAAATCAAAGCTAAAGCAAAGTTTGTTTGCAAACAAAATAAATACATCAAGAATGCAAAACCAATTAAAGTAAAGGAATTTTTTTTTATAAATTTGCCGAATAGGGTTGGTTAAAATTAAAATAAAGAAATAGAAAAAAAGCTTGGAGAATGGAAAACGTAACTGCCCGTGAATGAGAGTTGTAACTGCACAACAATGAAACCGTCGCTCATATTGCGGTCGCCCAAAAGTGGCCGTCGGAAAGACTCGCCGTTTCCGGTACCTCAGCCGCAACTCCTTTGACACCCTGCAAAAAATAAGTAGAATCCTCCGGAAAAAGGATTTGATGGGTGAAGGAAAGCCAGAATCGGTGACGCACGATGGCGTTGGGCAGCAAACTGCTGAAGGACACGGTGACAAGAATGAGTGCAATCCCAAAATTGGGTTTCGTATCGCACAGTCCACCGGTGCTTGGTGACGCCTCTGTAAACGGAGCTGCGTTTGGGAGGGCAATCTCTTGGAACGCTCTTTCTCGTTCTCATCGGGCGGAACCTTCTCTTCCATTCACATGTACTTCCACAAACAAGTTCATTTGAGATGAAAAGACAGAAGCTTTTCATTTCACCCGACCAGTTACGAATTGAATCCCCAACAAAATGCAAACACCGTTGCCCTAATTACACGATTTTTGCCGCTTCTCCGACATGGTTGTTTCCCTCTCTTCAGGTTGTACTTCAATTCTCTAATGGTTGAATTGGAAGAGAGCTTTCAGATGGGAACTCCGGGCGCATTCCTTCCCTTCCTCTCTTTCCCTCACTTGCTCACTCGCTCTATTTCATGGAAATGCTCCCGTGGAATAACCTTGACGTACAAAACAAACGCCACCGAAGCAACCCCCGGCCCAACCCAAAACACCCAATGCCCATCCCATAAATGCCCACCCCTCACAACCGCCGGGCCCAAACACCTCGCCGGATTAAACCCAGCTCCGCCGTACCCTCTCGCCGCCGTCACCGTCGTCGAAGCAAAAACCAGAACCCCCAAAACAATCCCAATAATCACACACACCGTCACCCGACCCAAAGCCCTAACCTGCCGCCCGTCAAAAGCCATCCAAAACGAAGCAAACCAATACAAAACAACAACCTTACTTATCACAAAAATGAAGTCCACAATGCTCCTAATCGCTTCATTCTTCCTCTTGGCTGCCTTGACCATGAAACTACCGGTCTCATTCGCTGCTTCTCCCGTCGCCGTCACTGACGTGGATGGCACTCCACTCCGCTCCGGCCTCAACTACTTCATCCTTCCCTCCGTCTCTGGAAACGGCGGCGGTGTAGCTCTCGACCGAACCAAGACCAAAAAATGCCCGCTCTCCGTCTTTCAAGACGACTACGAGCTCTCCAAGGGCCTCTCCGTGGTCTTCCTTCCCGTAAATACCAAGCCAGGCTACACCGTCCAAACTGCCACCGACCTCAACATCGAGTTCACCGCTGAGACGGCCTGTGATGAGGCGACGGTTTGGAAGGTGGAAAGCTACAACGATGATGTCAAGCAGTGGTTCGTTGGAACCGGTGGGATCGAAGGGAAGCCCGGCCCGAGGACGGTGGAAAACTGGTTCAAGATCGCCAAGTTTGGTGGGAACTACAAGATTGTGTATTGTCCTTCTGTGTGCAAGTCTTGCAAAGTGACATGCAAGGACGTTGGTGTTTTTGAGGATGAGGATGGCAAGAAGAGGCTTGCGCTTAGCGACGATCCCATGATTGTTAAGTTCATGAAGGCTCCCAGTCACTAAAGACTAATATTTAAGTATTTAATACGTTTACTATGTATTGTTTGAGAATAATAAGAGCTAATTAACAAGCACCATATTACTACGTATGGTGCAAAAGCTCATCAAATTATTTGCTTTATGTAATTGAAATTATTCATAATCAATCTATGCATTTTTCATTTAGACAATTCATCTTGATCTATGCATGTTGATCATCCGATGTTCTATAATGGAAATCTATCTGCAAGGAGGAGTTTAACTTCCATAATAGCATGGTAGCCGAATCTTGCTCGCACAACAAAAAAAAAAAAACTGCATTTTAGTCACCGGAAGTGGGTTACGGAAGCCCACTTTCAGGGAACTACAGTATTTTGCGACCGAATTATTGTCACTATAGGAGTCGTCAATATTGGTTACGAACAACCGGATTTTGTTCCGCGCGCTAAATGTTTTGCGACTGTAAATTAATCGATCGCTCTTTAACGACAGGGTTTCAGCCTTTCAGGTCATGGTTGCAGCGACCGGATTGGTTTATCAGTAACTGGTTTTTCGGTCCAGTTTTGGTAATCTTCAGAGACCGGAATCAAATATTTGCGACGGGTTTCTGGTCTTGATGGTCATTCTTTTAGGGACTAGTATGCAATTTTGGCGATTAAATCTTCCGTTACTATATGTTATCCATCGCAACCGGGACCACCTTGATGACCTAGCAGATCTCAGTTGAAGAATTATCTTTTTACATTGTCATTACGCCAAAATCAAAAAGATAGGAAATGTAAAATGCAACAAGGTCTGCCACAAAACAAAGATACTATCTTAATATCAGATGCTTCATGATTCCATATTCTAAATCCTATTACTACCCTGAATTATTTATAATTTTTTTTCATGGCGTTATGAAATTTAATAATCATAACCTTCAGAAAATTTAACTCACTCAGAAAAATATTGACATATTTTGAATTATTTATCAACGTAATTACATCGATAAATATATCATTATTATTAGATGTATTAGGTGGAGAATTTCCTTTCACATTATTTTTTAAAAATATCTTAAAACTAAGTTAGGTACGTACACGTCCAATTACTCCATCCTTATCCCATATTTTACTTACCCGAAGGGAAATCCTCTATGCATATGCATGAAGTATACGTAGTCAAATGCAATTATATTCATCGTATTTGTAATTTTGTATGTACCACGCCGCCATAGGAAACATGATTGATTTCTATACTTTTTTCTAAAATAATAGACATATTTTTGTTCATAACTTCATATAAATTTGTCTTGTCAATAATAATCAATGTTCTGTGATAAATTAAAATAACAAACTTTTCCCATCCTCAGTCTTATTCCTATAGCTAGCGCTATATGATCCAAAAGCTGCTCCACTTGATCTAGTCCCCTGTTCTCATTAATGTTCTACCTTAGAAGGAATTCTTAAGACACTACATAAAAAGGGCAGGCAAGTCTAATTAGGGAGCCTAACTTTTGACACCATGTTGGTCAACTTGGGCTAATTTGGACTTTGGAACTTCTACATACATATATATATAAACCCATGTTGATTAATGTCACGTAGATTATGATCAAAGTTGCATGTGACAGAAGAGAGCATTATGGATCCTTCCCTAACTAAAAAGGACTTCATTCAACATACGAGGAAGAAAAGTAAAACTTTCGCATAAAGTTCGGTCCAATACCAACCAAAATGCTCCCAACCTACGTACCCATCTTACTTATTCTATATCCTTCGATCACGTTGATCCCTCTATAAAATCGGCTCTCTCTATGCTCCCAATTCTTCACACAACCATCCAACGTACAAAGCAAAAAACAAACCTCCCTTCAAGAACAAACGTCATTTAACTTACCTAGCTCAAAACGATGAAGGGGCCAGGAGCAAGTGCAATGTTGCTAGTAATGGTTCTACTCTCCATTACTCTCTCCTCCGCCTCCGCGGCAAGATCGCTGGCCGAAACCCTAGCCACGTCGTCGCTGACCCCGCTTCCCGTCCTGGACGTGAACGGGAAAGTGGTACGATCAGGGGCCAACTACTACGTCCTGCCTGCGGTCAGCGGGGAAGGTGGCGGGGTGGCTCTGGCTAGCCTGACCAAAGATTCAGAGAGCTGCCCGCAAACCGTGGTTCAAGATCAAGACGAGATTTCCCAAGGCATCCAGCTCACTTTTGGGCCCGTAAACACCAAGTCGGGCTACACGGTCCGCACATTCACGGATCTTAACATCCGGTTCGTGGCGGACACGCCCTGTGAGGAAGGCACGGTGTGGAAGGTGGATGAATACGACGATGATGTGCAACAGTGGTTCCTTGGGACGGGTGGTGTTGAAGGAAATCCTGGTCCGAGGACGGTGAAGAACTGGTTCAAGATCTGGAAGTACGGTTCCAACTATAAGTTGTCGTATTGTCCAGCGGTTTGCAAGTCGTGCAAGGTCGACTGCAAGGATGTCGGGATTTACGTGGATGAGAATGGCGGGAGGAGGTTGGCTCTTGTTGACAAAGATGGGGATCCTTTTGTGATCAAGTTCGTGAGGGCTGAGTGAAGGAATAAATTGATGATTAAGTGAGGATTATCGTTAAATATACGTAAGCAAATTCATGTATTTTGAAAGAGTGGAATAAGAGCTATTCATGCTCAATTAAGGGGGCTGGCTGATGCATGCATGGCTGGTAACTCCAGTATGTCTTTTGTAAGAGTGTGTCCAGATGGAAGGATTTCAAATTATTGTATTTCACATTCAGTATTATTGGAAATTCAAAATATTAAATTAATATGTATTTAAAAGTATTAAAGATCCATTCGCAATTAACGACGGTAGACAGCTAGACTTCCCAATATGGGAAGTTCCCATATTATAACTCATATACCACATTACCACTTATTAAAAAAAACTAGGCATTTTCTGCTCAAGAAAAATGGTAAATATATTCGAGATGACTTTTTAATTTTTCTCCTCCATCCAAATTCTTAAATGTGCTTAAGAGTTGGAAAGCAAAAGTTATCCTCTCCGACTCCCTTTTGCAATCGACATAGCAAATATCGCATCCTAGTAGTCTTTGTTTATTTGATGTTTGTGGATGATGATGATATTGTGTCAAATGTCTTGGTAGTTTCATATGTAGTACCAAGTTCTGATTAGCTTCTGGTCTGTCTTTCTTGACCTCCTGCTCAGGTTCTCTAAAGTTTGGCTCTCGATGGACCTAACTCTCTTCTGCTTGTTTAGTTCGGTTTGTTAGTCTCTCTTGTCTTGTCTTTTCTTTTGTTGTTCTGGTCTCTCGGCACTTTCCTTTCTCCTTGGGCACTGCTTGTGCTACCTATTGAATGAACTCATTTGTGGTTCCAGTTTTAATGTAATTTTCATCATTATAAAAAAAATGTCTTGGTAGTTGTATTCACTAATTAGATGAAGATGTTTGATTACTTTTAGTTTCATGAATTGGAATTTGTATTATGAATTCACGATGGATATCGTATTGATGTTATTTCTTATCATTGGAATTTTATGTTAATAATGTAGAACGGTAGTTAAATTGTTTGGCTAGTGGTTAGTATTAAATGACACTTGTTAAACTTAATTGGATGATGATTTGTGTATTACAAGAACATAGAAGTTATTGGTTTCATATAATTGGTTTGATTATGTATATTTGTGCTAGTTGAAATGTATTTTAGTAATTATTGGTTAACCGCCAAACTAATCGCTAACCGAATCGATAAGAGACGGTTAACCGAGAAGGCTTATCGGTTCGGTTATCAATATGGGTTTTTTGCTTATTGGTTAACCGCTAACCGCCATATCGGTTAGTGATTAAATGACATCGAACCGATTAGCACCCCCAATCTAAGGAGCTTAGCAATAAGTTACGAACATAAAATGCATGAATATTGATATTTTTTTTAATAATATGAAGATACTATTATTATCAGTTAATAATGTATAAATAATTTTAAAATTGTTGATTCAATCCAATAAATAGATAGGTCCCAGTTGACTACGAAGACTAACGAACTTTGAACAACAAGAGGTAGAGCCAAATTAGGAAACAAATTGTATTTCTAGGATTACGTTAGTAAAAGAAATAGTTCAGGACCATGATATAAGAAAAAGCTAGGGGCCAAAAGTACTGTCAACTCTGAATCTAAATATTAATTAGCTAATGTTAGTGATCAAGTAACTAACTTTTCCTATATTAATCTATGCATTCTAGTCCTACTCCTACAGCTAGATAGTCATGTTCCCATTTATATACGATAGAATGAATTACATATAACTTTTGACCCTATGTAGATCAACTTGGACTAGTATATATGGACTCGGAACTAGTTGATTATGTCACGTAGATTATGACCAAAATTGCATATACGTCTTGATTGCATGTGAATCGAAAGAGCATCATGGATCCTTCCCTAACCAATTAATCCCAAACTTTCAACCTCTCCAAATTCTGTCTCCACTAGGCCTTCATTCAACTCCAAATACCAAATTTGCCCTTTTCCCCATTGTCCTCAACCCCTATAAATACCCACCCGTCCTCTTCACTTCATTCCTCACAACTCACAAAATCCCACCCTCCAGCAAGCATCCCAAGAACCCCGACCAAATCTTAATCACCACAACTAAACACAAAAATGAAGTCCACAATGCTCCTAGTAGCTTCATTCTTCCTCCTAGCTGCCTTAACCATGAAACTACCTGTCTCATTCGCCGCTTCTCCCGTCGCCGTCACTGACGTGGACGGCACCCCACTCCGCTCCGGCCTCAAGTACTTCATCCTTCCCTCCGTCTCTGGAAACGGCGGCGGTGTAGCTCTCGACCGAACCAAGACCAAAAAGTGCCCGCTCTCCGTGTTTCAAGACGACTACGAGCTCTCCAAGGGCCTCTCCGTGGTCTTCCTTCCCGTAAATACCAAGCCAGGCTACACCGTCCAAACTGCCACTGACCTCAACATCGAGTTCACCGCTGAGACTGCATGTGACGAGGCGACGGTGTGGAAGGTGGAGAGTTATGACGACGATGTCAAGCAGTGGTTCATTGGAACTGGCGGGATCGAAGGGAAGCCCGGCCCGAGGACGGTGGAGAACTGGTTCAAGATCGCCAAGTTTGGTGGGAACTACAAGATTGTGTACTGTCCTTCGGTGTGCAAGTCATGCAAAGTGACATGCAAGGACGTTGGGGTTTATGAGGACGAGGATGGCAAGAAGAGGCTTGCTCTTAGTGACGATCCCATGATCGTTAAGTTCATGAAGGCTTCTAGTCACTGAAAGATACTCATATATTTGTTTAGTAATATGCTTACTTTAAGTTGATTTTGGGAATAAGAGCTTAATGCTCATCAATTATTGCTTGATGTACTTGGGATGTATTGATTTTGTCATAATCAAATTCTATGCATGTTTTGTTTGGGAAAGTTTACCTTGATCCATGCTGATCATCCGATCATCAATTGGGTTTAACTTCCACGATAAATAGCATAATCCGAAGCTTGTCTGAATCCAGAGTCCAGACCATATATAAAATGACTATTGACTTGAGGACGAATTAAGCTGATGCATGTGATCAAATCAAAGGGAATAGTATAATATGGTAAAATGGCGGCATGAGCTGTTAAAAATAATTAAGTACGTAACTTTAATAATAAGCAAAACCCTAGCTTGGCATTAGGCGGCATGGAGCTCCCAGCGCTACTCCACGTACAACAAAACGAGTATTTAATTTGAGTCAATGTAGGAAAGACGGGGTAGTAAGTCACATAATCCATTGATAGTTGATCTGAATTTATTATTGTCGTCAATTACAAAAAGAAAAAAACATTGATATCAATATAAAAGCTAACACTGATTTCGAAAGAATACATATCAACAGGAATTATATGCCACGAGTCGGGGAACGGATAGGTAGTATCAATATCATACCATGAATTTATGAAGAATTTGGCTTGCTTTAAGAAACTAATTGCAATATGTTTTATAATGTTTCTGGTATGTTTTAACAAACATGTGGTAATCTTTGAATTTTTTAATATGCATTATGAATTTAATGGTATGATAATGTTATGTTATACTTTCAAAGGTTTTTGGTCTACTTAATATTATAGGTGGTGTATTTTATTATAATTTTGGTCTATATATTTTTTTTCTGTATGCTTCATGATACCTGTGGTAAGGGGCTGGGGACATTATGAATAATAAATAAGCAACGCTATAAATGACAAGGTGTCCCTCCTTTAAAAAATTACCATTAAAAAAACAAATCATCAAAACTAAATATTCTTATGAGCTTAATCGAATATTATAAAAATCTACATCTATGATTTTATTTTATTTTTGTTGTTGATGAAAAAGCTTTCTTCATAAGAAATAAAAATGACCCAGTCCAAATTCGTAGATGGACATTATTGAAAGTAGGTGCATATTCAATCGATTCATCGTCATCCCATATTTTACATAGTCCAATGTTATTATATTCATTATATTAGGGGTGGCTATACGGTCCGGTCCGGTTAAATTGGATCAAATTGATTTGGTCCCAGTCCGATCTTTTTGGAAATATAAGAACCAAATATTGAATTGAATACAGTCCAGTCTTGACCCGGTCTGGTCCCAATTTGATCTTGATTTTAGATTGAGCTTGTGGGGATTTGAGTGTTTGTGTCTCTTATCCGGATTTTTTACCTCAAATCTAAGCCCGAATATGAGATTGGATTGTTTGCTATCCGGTCTCAATCCGGTCCCGGTCCAAATTATACGGTCCGGTTTCGGGTAAAACCAAACAGTCCGGACAAAATAGCCAGCTCTACATTATATATCTCCGTAGGCCTACACAATATTGTATATATAATGTCAACTTTATACAGTTCCCTTGTTCAAAATAGACGATGCATTATACATTTGTATAGTATAATACTATACAATCAATTTTTTGTGTTCAAGTACCTAACTTTTCCCATCCTCAGCCATATTCCTTTATCTAGCTATAGCTATCATATGTCGAACTGGCTGCTGGCTACCACTTCAAGTCCCCCTGTTCTCGTTTATGTTCTTCCATAGAAGGAATTGTATAAGACAATATTACACTAGAAGGAAAAGCAAAGGGATCGAGCCTAACTTTTGACCATAATATAGATCGATCAACTTGGACTACTAATATGGACTTGCAACTTCGATACACACATATATCAAAGCAATTGATTATATCTCACGTAGATTAATTACGACCAAAGTTTGCATCAACTTGATTCAGACGCTGCATATATGGATCCTCCCCTAACCAATCAGGACTTAATTGAGCCTACGAGGAAGAAAACTAAGACTTTGTACAATGTTCGGTCCAATACCAACAAAACGAAAATTCCTTATAATTACGTACCCATCTTACTATATTCTGCCCTTCGTTCACCACTATAAATATCGTTGCTCCATGCTCCCTTTTCCTCACACAACCCACCAACAAAGCAAAAACAAAGCTATAGCCTCCCACCCCCAAGAACAAAACGTACGTCGTTTTCCCTAGCTAGCTAGCTCGAAACAATGAAGAGGGCAGGAGCAAGTGCAATGTTGGTAGTAATGGTTGTCCTCTCCATTACTCTCTCCTCCGCCTCCGCGGCAAGATCGCTCGCCGAAACCCTAGCCACGTCATCGCAGACCCCACTTCCCGTCCTTGACGTGAACGGGAAAGTGGTCCGGTCTGGATCCAACTACTACGTCCTGCCCGCGGTCAGCGGGGAAGGCGGCGGGGTGGCTCTGGCTAGCCTGACCAAAGATTCGGAGAGCTGCCCGCAAACCGTGGTTCAAGATCAAGATGAGATCTCTCAGGGTATCCAGCTCACTTTTGGGCCGGTCAACAGTAAATCTGGTTACACTGTCCGCACTTTTACCGACCTAAACGTCCGGTTCGTGGCGGACACGCCCTGCGAGGAGGGAACGGTGTGGAAGGTTGAGGACTACGACGATGATGTGCAGCAGTGGTTCCTTGGGACGGGTGGTGTTGAAGGAAATCCTGGTCCGAGGACGGTGAAGAACTGGTTCAAGATATGGAAGTACGGTTCCAACTATAAGCTGACGTATTGTCCCGCGGTTTGCAAGTCGTGCAAGGTCGACTGCAAGTAGGGCTGTCACTCGGTCGGTTTCGGTTTAACCGAAAACCGAATTGTCGGTTATCGGTCAAACCGAGACTCGACCAGAGCTACCGACAACCGACCGTCCGTGAGCCTCGGTTAGCCGCAAACCGACCGACCGGTTTCCGGTTTTGGCTCGGTTAGCCGGCCAACCGGATACTACCTTTAAAAAAAAAAAAAAAAAAAATTAACAATAAATCTGCACCACACACTCCTAACCTAACCCTCTGTTTCTCGATTCTTCTTTCCCCTACGTTTTCTCGATTCTCTTTCCAGACCATCTCTCTCCCTACTCTCTCTCTATTCTCTTCTTCCTCTAGAAGGAAAATCGAACAACCAACTCCCTCGATTCTTCTTCCCAGACTCTCTCTCTCTCTCCCTATTCTCGCCTCCTCCCTCGATTCTCTCTCTCGATTCTGCTGGTGTTGGCGACGGGGGCGGGGCGCGGCGACGGGGGCAGGGCGCAGCGACGGGAGCGGGGCGCGGCGACGGGCGCGGGGCGCGGCGACTGGCTCGGCGACTGGCGCGGCGACGGGAGCGAGGTCAACGACGGGCGCGGCGACGCGGAGCGAGGTGCGGCGACTGGCTCGGCGACTGGCTCGGCGCGAGGATCTGGCCTCCATGCAGAGGAAGAAGAGTCGAAGGAGTTAACTGAGGAGGAGAGGTGAGGGTCGGATCTGCTGTGGAGTGGAAGGATTTGTAGGAAGAAAGAGAGAAGAAGAGTCGAAGGAGTTAGGGAAGAAAGAGAGAAGAAGAGTCGAAGAAAGAGAGAAGCTGGAGTGGAGGGTTAAACTTCTCTTTTTTATATTTTCGGTTGTGGGTCGGTCGGCCGGTTAGTCGCGGTTAACCGGCTTCGGTTACTCGGCTAACCGGACCCCTGCTTTCCTCTACCGACAACCGACCGACCTCTTCAAAATCGGTTTTTCGGCTAGCCGAAAACCGGTCGGTTCGGTTGAAACCGACCGGTTAGCCGCTAACCGGAAAACCGAGTGACAGCCCTAACTGCAAGGATGTTGGGATTTACGTGGATGAGAATGGTGGGAGGAGGTTGGCCTTGGTGGAAAAGGATGGGGATCCTTTTGTGGTCAAGTTCGTGAGGGCTGATTGAAGAAACTAATTGGTGCATGATTAATTAAGGATTATCATTAATTATCTGTTAAGTTTATTTATGTATTTTGAAAGAATGGAATAAGAGCTATTCATGCTCAATTAAGGGGGCCGGCTGCTGCATGCATGCATGCATGGTTGGTAACTCCAGTATTTCTTTTGTAAGAATGCTTCAATAGGAGAATTTGAAATGGATGTCTTTCACATTCAGTGTAATTCGAAAGTAAGGTGTTATTTAGAGTAATTCATAACAGTCTTTTATTTTCTGGAAATTTCATATTATAAATCCTTCCATGTCCCCAAATCCCATCATTAAAAAAAATTATGTTGGAATTTTCCTACAAATATATCCTCGATCAACCTTCTTTGGATTGAACAACACACAATCCTAGCTAGCTTATTGTATCATACATTGTATCATACATTGTTGGAATTTTCCTACAAATATGTTCATTATTTTTACTTGTCTACTAACTTATTGTGAAGAACATTGTATCATACATCAACCTTAAATGTTATATAAATAACTCTAGAATTTATGCTTTGAATTATTTATTCTAAATTTATTAATCCTCCACCTAAGTGTCGATTTCTTCACCCTCAAATGTAAATCTGTCCATAAACTAAGAAAACACATTGTGGATCATTTAAATATAAATAAAATATATATTTTTTATATTTTTACGACGATCCAATTTGAGTGAAATTTCATCTACATCACTAACTACATATCTTCTCATTTTTGGGTCTAAAATTGTAAATTAACTAAATTTTTTGGTTATTTTAAGAGAAGGTGTGTGTAAAAAAGCATATATATAAAATCTATGGTACGATAAACATATATATGAGCTGCAATAAATCACTAACTACCAATTTAATGTAGGAATTCTCTCTTTCTCTCTTTCTAATTGTTCACTCTACCTACCATAATTTGGTTTGGACTTGAGACTTTCTAGCAAAATGACCAAAAAAATCCTCTAATCATACCATGTGCATATCAATAGAGATTTATTATGGATCTCTACCAACCAAATTGGCCCATAGCTATTAGTCCTTACCCACCTTTATCGAGTGCATCATGCAACTCCAAATCCCATATTTGCCCCTTTTTACCCATAACACATAAATCCCCTATAAATCTCACCCGCCCTCTTCACTTAATTCCCCACAAAGTCCCACCTTTCCCACAAGTAATAAACCCAAACACAAAATGAAGTCCGCAATACTCCTAATACCTTCCTTCCTACTCCTAACCGCCGTAACCGCAAAACCGCCGCTCTCATCAGCCACTTCCGCCGTCCCCGTAACCGACGTGGACGGCGCCCCGCTCCTCTCCGGCCTCAACTACTTCATCCTTCCCTCCGTCTCTGGAAACGGCGGCGGCGTAACCCTAGCCCAAACCAACACCAAAGAACATTGCCCTCTTTCTGTGGTCCAAGACCGCCACGAGCTCTCCAAGGGCCTCCCCGCGGTGTTCCTTCCGGTCAACACCAAGCTAGGCTACGCCGTCCAAACGGCCACGGACCTCAACATCGAGTTCACCGCCGAGACGGCCTGCGACGAGGCGGCGGTGTGGAAGCTGGAGGATTACGACGACGATGTCGACAAGTGGTTCGTTGGGACCGGCGGGATCGAAGGGAAGCCCGGTTTGAGGACGGTGGGGAACTGGTTCAAGATTGCCAAGTTTGGTGGAAGCTACAAGATTGTGTATTGCCCTTCCGTGTGCAAATCTTGTAGAGTGACGTGCAAGGACGTTGGGGTTTTTGAAGATGAGGATGGCAAGAAGAGGCTTGCTCTCAGTGACGACGCTATGATTGTTAAGTTCGTCAAGGCTAGCTAGCTCCTAGTCGTTGAATGTTACTGAAATATATGTAATACTGATCATACATTTTTTATTTGAGTCTTGAGAATAAGAGCTGAAGGCTAGCTCCTAGTCACTGAAATTTGAGATCGATTTATTCATGTATAATAAAGTTGTATGCATGCATTTGGTTTAGAAAATTCGTATTGATTCATCCCCTATCACCCTGTGTTCCGGATGAATTTTGTATCTTATCCATCCCTATCATCCTATCTAGAGGTGGCAATTAAGATCCAAATCCATGAATCCTAATCCAATCCTTTTGAATTCAATCAATTTGATCCAAATCTTATTGGATTGGTGGATTCATGGATCAATCCATGGATCCAAATGACAAATTACGATTTGGTACCTATATTTTTAATATTTTACATTTTGGTACCTAATTTTTTTTATTTTTATACAAAAAGTATCATTGAAAATTTACATTTTGGTACCTAAAATTTTTCATTATGACATTTTAGTACCTAAACTTTTCAAAATTTACATTTTGGTCCAAGCCTTGGATGTCATTTGGATTCATGGATCAATCCATGAATCCACCAATTCATTGGATCCAATCCATTTGATCCATGGATCCACCAATCCAATCCACCAATCCGTTCCAATTACCATCTCTAATCCTATCTTCTGACTAAAATCTATTTTCAAGGACTTGATATCGTCTGTTAGAATGGAACCGAAAAATCGACAATGAAAAAAATAAAGAACACACATGTTTATGTGCGTTCATTAAGACTATATGTGGAAGCTATATTCGCGAGCAGAGGAGACAAACTTCATAATAGTTGAGAAGATACAGATTACAGATAAATGATTTAATTCATTCGCTGAGAATTGAGATGCGTCTCCCTTCCACGACAGTGCCGGCCACACTAGTCACTAGTGCACGACAAAAAGAGTAGTTAACCTGACTATAGCTAGCTCCACAGTAATGAAAGGAAGAACCTTAAGTCGGATCATCCTTTGATTGCTTGATACAAATTTTGTTGTTGATTTATAAGAATTTCTAGTCATAAGAAGAAGAAAAATTGTCCTATATTCAAGTTCAAAGGTAGGTTGTTGTAATTTTACATAATTTTAAAAAAAAATATATTTTGGAAGTAGGTATGTATCCAATTAATCCATCATCATCGTGATCATCCCATAATTTGGTTAGGTGGAACCCCGTCGAAGAGCAATCCTCCCTTAGCTGTATGCATAAAGTATACATAGTCAAATGTGATTACATTCATTATAATATCCTAATCCACTCTAGGTAATCAAATGTCGTCACACTTATATTCTTCCATTGATTTTAATAATAGATATTATACAAATATTTGGTTCATACGCATTTGGCCTTTCTACCGTAAATACTAACTAATCCTAGTGTTTAAGTAACTAACTTTTCCTATATATCCTTAGTCCTATACTCCTACAGCTTGCTAGCTAGTCCTGGTCTCGGTTATATATGCTAGCATGAATTAAATAAGACATTACATTAGAAGGCAGGCAAAGAGAGCCTAACTTTTGACCATAGAAAGATCCACTTGGACTAATAAATATGCACTTGGAACTTCGGTATACATATAAAACAAGTTGATTATTATGTCACGTAGAATATGACCAAATACTTGATCGGAGTACATACGTTGCACTAGATCAGGGCACAGACAAAGGGAGCCCAACTTTTGACCATAATAATATAGTTCAACTTTGACTAATATGGATTTGGGACGTCGATATACATACAAAAGCAGTTGATTATATGTCAATTAAGCACATTATGATTGACCAAAGTTTGCATAATCTTGACACATACGATGCAATATTTGTACGTAAGAGCATTATGGTTCCTCCCCTAACCAATGAGGACTTAGTTGAACCTACGAAGAAGAGAATTAAGACTTTCTACAATGTTCGGTCCAATGCCAACAAAACCGAATTCCCGACGTACGTCCATCTTACTATATTCTGCCATTTGATCACCTCATCGGCTCCCTCTATAAATGCCGTTTGCTCCCTGCTCCCGATTCTTCACACAACCTCCAACGTACAAAGCAAAAGAACAAACAACAACCCAAGAAGAACAAAACAACAATATGAAGAGGGCAGGAGCAAGTGCAATGCTAGCAATAGTTTCTATGTATCATGTAAATTAAATTGAGATGTTAATTACATGATCTGATTAGTGTGTTCCATCTTATAATAATTGCAATGGCGAACCCTACTTTTAAAGTGAATGCCTACTCAATGTTTATTCATATGTCCATATCTAGTCCTGTAGATATGATTCATGTTTATAGCTAGCGTGGTTTAGCCTGCTTGGTTGTACCCCGATAAATTAACATGTGCGTGGTACAGAAACCATATATATGAAATGAAAACGTGCAGATGCAATAACGTTTATGTCGTATGCATATACCCTACCAAGACAAGGAAATATTATGAACACTAACATGCCTGCCTTCTTGCTGACATCCATGAAGAAGGGCTGCTAGGCACTGCCTCTGGGACAGCCATGGAAGATGAAGTTTGAATTTTTTTTATATACATTTATTTGAAATACGGTGCAATAAGAAATTGTTCGTGGGGTTTGGTTCGACTACGACATCACCGATGGTGGTAACGTGGAAAGTGTTCCATGTTATTAAAAAAAAAAAATACTTGTTCGTCTCTGTATTGTACACACCAAGGTTGTCAAACCATATCAAGCCATTAAGTCGATTCGCCAAGTGGTTTGAGATTGAATGGTTGGATCGGATTCAGCCAATTTGACAAGTGATTTTTCCCCCAAGTAACTATCCAATTAGAGCATATTCCAATTGTTCAGATACCTAGTTCCGATCGAACCAAATTGAACAAATAGGCCCTATACGGATTTGACAACCTTAGTACACAAACAAAACCCACACACTATCATTTAAGACATTTAACGTGCATCTATCACATATTTTCGAGTAATTTTTTATTATTATCACACATCTTAATCAAGTAACTCATGACGAAAATGAACGTCTAAACGCTCATAAGTGAGAAGGACTTATACCCTCTCTCAACAGGATTAGAAGTTTCACATAGTTTAACAACCCTGATCAACACAAGCAAAGTAGCAAACAGACAGATGAACAAGACAATTGAGAGGCAAGGACATAGACGAATATCAGTCGGTATATCGGTCATTCTCTAAACATATTAAAACCCCAGTGACAAAACAAGGGTGGTTCCCACCCAATCATCGTCAGCCACGTGGGCAATGACCTGGCCTTGGCGAAGACCACGTCATTGTTCGACCAAGCAGGAATTTCCAAGGCGGAATGCTAACTTCTAGGGGGGAACAAAAGGGAGCCAATTCAAGGCAGAAAGTCGTCAAAAAGACGGACAGAAAAGAAAGAAAGGAGAGAGAGAGAGAGAGAGAGAGAGAGAGGGAAAAAAAAAAAAACAATCGCCTCCAAAGAAAAAAAAAACTCTCCCCCGCGTTATCTCCTCGCCGATTCCGCTTCCCTTCCTCCCGCGATCTCCGCTGCGTTTCCGGCGGCGAAGGCGGACGCGCAAGTCGTAGTCATCATCATGGCCTGAGAAGGTAGAAAGAAAGAGAGAAAGATCAGCATCGGAAACAGAGGAGAAAGAAAGAAAGAAAACAGAGACGATCGATTTCTCTCCTGTGTTTTCTCTAAAATGGCGTCGTATCGATTCCGGGATCAGGTACGCGATTCCTCTCCCTCTCGGCAAGGTTTATCCAAGTCCCAAGTGTGCCTCCACAAGATTCTACGTATCATTGCTACCTCCGCTCCTCAGCCGCCGCCGGCGGTGGAAGCCACTACGGTCTCCTCGAATCAAGGATCCTCGTCGTCGGCGCGCCCCGAGGTTGAATCGGGAAGGGATCTAAATTCTGTGAACCGAGGGATTGGCATCGATTTGAATATGGAATTTAGTCTTGGCGGTGGAGGAGAGGGAAGCGAGGCGGTGAGTGCCGGTAGCGCGGCGGAGGAGGATGATTATAAAGATCCCGACTTTTCAGGGCCGCCGCCGGCGGCGGCGGTGGAGGAGGAGGTTAGAGGTAGTGCTGAGTCTGCGGCAATTGTTGATCAGAAGAACTCCGAGGGTGAATTTGATCCTAATAGCAATCGCCACGGCGGAGATTGTTCACCGCCGCTAGCAGAGGCTTCGGAAGCAACGAATCTGCGAATCAACGAAATCCGGGAGATTGGCATCAACGGGATTGGCGACGAAGACGACGACAAAAAAGAATTCGAGGAGGAGGAAGGAAGAGGAGGAGTGCAAAACGACAGTCGGCGTGCTGACGAGGAGAACAGAGCAGCCGAAACGGCGCCGTGGGCGGAAGTAGGAGGAGGAGGAGGAGAAAAGAACAAAAGGGATCGAGGCATTAGCGGAATATCAGATCGTCGGCTAACGGTCCCAATTGAAGCAACGGAGCTTGCCTCCGGTCGTGGTTCGTCGTCGAACACTCTGGATCCCGACGAGATACGGACGGCAGCCGCGGAGGAGACAGAGGAGGAGTCGGAGCCGCATTCGCCGTCGATTAGGGGACGTGGCGGCAGAATTGCGGCTCGTGGGACGAAGAGGAAGAGGAGGAGGAACAAGTGTTGGGTGGTGGATTTGTACAAAAATAGCGATGAGATGACGACTGGGACTACGGCGGCGACGGCGCCGACATCGAAGAGAGGACGGAGAAGCCAGGTGATGCCGTCCAGGTACCGAGACTATTCAGTGGTGATGGAGCCGTGGAAACAACTGCCCCGCCGGCGTCCGTAGCTGCCGGGGGGTTTTGCACGGGAACCCGACAAAACAAGATACGGAATAATATTAATGAGAGATTATAAATGGAAAATTGGTCGTCGGATTATGATTTTTCACACGGAAACAATTTCCTTTCGATTTTGACATTCTGAGTTAAATTATAGTCCTTCTGTTTGACATGAAGCTACATTATGGTTTGGATTTGTTGAAATTCGAGAGAAATTTCTAAGAAGAAGGGTAAGTCACAAGTGATTTAAAGTTTGTTGACTTATTTACTATAAGATAGGCCAATTAGTAATTATAGATAAATTAAGTACGAAAATGGAGAAGAAATTTCCAGAGATAAACATATGGAGACATCCAATAAAATTGGAGAAAAGAGTTCAAAGATCCAACCACTACCATAAACATTAAACAACCACCATGTTGGAACTATACGTGATTCATCAACACAATATGTGTTAACTAGTTTATCTAAAATTTAAATATAAATATGTGTTTAGCTAGTTTATGGGTAGGATAGAGCCAGTTTCACTATACTTGAAAAAATATATATTACATCAATTAAGAAGGTATATAGTCCCTTCTACAAATTACAACGATACCATATGACTTCCAGTCGAGATAATATGTCATCTAGGGCTGGAGGGTCGGTTGGTTCGGTTATAATCGAAAACCGAAGGGTCGGTTAATGGTCAACCGAACCACCTCCCAATCCTACCGACCACCGAGTGAAAGCGGGCTTAAGCCTTCGGTTATCTTGATTTTCGGTTAACCAAATCGCCCCCAAGACCAAAACAATATCACCCAGCCTCCGAACACCGACCAAGTTTCGGTTATCTTGGTTTTTGATTAGTGGATAATCGGCCGGTTTTGGTTGTAAGCGGTCGGTTAATCGCTAACCACTAACCGATTGTCCAGCCCTACTGTCATCCCGTCATAGTAACAAATCTCCACCTTGGCTTGAAGTCCCCCTCAAATACATATATCCTCAAACTCCCCTCTTGCCTTAGATATCAATCGCTCAAACATTTAGCAAGTTCAAGCAGTGTTGGAACCGGCTTCGTGAACATATTAGCAGGATTATCAACACTGCCCACTTTCTTCACTTTAATCAATTTATCTGTTCTCAAGAAATGATCACATCTATGTGTTTAGTCCTATCATGATGGGTTTGATCCTTAGCAAAAACATATTGCACTCAAACTGTCATTATAAATCGCAGTTTGATCATGATGTAAACTCACATCACCAACCGATCCCTTTAATCATATTCCCTCCAAAGCTAATTGTGTTAGCGTCGTGTACTATCCTTCTCTGGTAGACAAAGTAACTGTAAACTGTATAGCGCCTTCCAACTAAACTATGGAACCTCCAAAAGCGAATAATAGATAATTAATCATCGATCTCATTGTGTCAACACTCCATCATAATCGGAATATGAATAATAAGCCACCAAGCACTCTGTATCACTTCCAAAGTTGATTCTCACATCAGACGCACCTTTAAGGTACTCGAAACTCCTATTCACGGCTTGCCAACGTTCCTTCCGAGGTTGCACCATGAACATGCTGACAACTGCAACATCATATGCAAGATCAGGTTTAGTGAATACTATAACATACATCAAGATACCTAATGCACTAGAGTATGTGACTCGATACATGTACTCCTTCCCAGCTTCGGATTGAGGTGCATAAACCGAGAATTTGATGAATATTTAGCATTAGAAGTATTTAAAAGCTTTGCTGATAACTTGGACAATGTCTCTTCAATATAACTTTTAAGTGACAATGAAAGCTTTTTCTAATTTATTTTCTTTGTAAATTTCCATACCCAAAATCTTCTAAGCAGCTCCCAAATTCTTTATCTCAAACTCAACACTCAAAAGATCCTTCAACTTACGGACATCAGAGAGACTCTGTGATTTCCAATCAATGGCAGAATAATCTGTTTTCAAATCATAGCAACACATAACAATAAGAAATTGAAATTAACTTGTACCAAACTTTAGAACCGCAATTTATGTATTATTATTTCATAATAATATTGCCATTGTCTAAAGACTTACATTACATAAGAACAGCTTTCATTAAGCCAAACTTGGTGGCTATTATATGTACATTTCCAACATGCAATTGTAAATAAAAAAAAAACAATGAACAAATGAGAGATGAAGCAAAGGCAGGAAGGAAGTAGGGATGGCAAAAATATCCGTAACCGTGGATATCCACCCGAATCCGACCTAATCGGGTAGGGTAAAATCCGAACCCGAAGCATTTTTCGTGGGTACGGGTAAAACCCGAACCCGAATATTGCGGGTAATGGGTGGGCATGGTTATCTCACTATCCAACCCGAACCCGCCCGATTATACACATGCATATGTATTTTGTCTAGAAATAATCATTATGTTTCTCTAGAATATTTTATATTTAGCATATAAATATAATATTTTCATGAAATTATGTTATTTTAATTAATTTTCGTCATTCTAGTGAATTATTGTCGTACTTTTCCTCTTACCGTCTTACGTAATGTGAGTATACGTGTGAGTGTTAACATATTGGTTGGAATTATAAGGATAAATTATTACCCATGGATAACCGTGGACACCCGAAATCCGAACGGGTATGGACATGGTTTTGATTTTCTACCCGTTTCTCGTGTGGGTACGGATATGGGTAAAACCCGAACTATATTGGGTAGGGTAACGGATATGCACTATCCGCCCCGACCCGACCCGACCCATTGCCATCCCTAGAAGGAAGGCCGGGCAAAAAAAGAGAACTATAATTAACAAATTAATCATACCTACTAATTAGTAATTAATTACAGCCCCTAATTCCCTATTGCTTGAGTCTCCGGAGATAACTGGCAACAAGATCCCTCCTCGCGGCCTGCAGATTCCACAGCGCGTCTCTCATGGAGATCCGGCCATCAGGGGATCCAGCACTGCACCACAGTCCAACTCCCAGAATCTTGACGAGGCATTGCTCTTCCATTTCGGGTTTCACGGGCGAGACCACATCCGGATCCACAACTTCCATCACTTCTCCCGGGTAAGCGGATCGGACCCAACCCATAAGGCTCTGCTCGCTCTCCATCAACCCTTCGTCGATCGGGCTCTTCCCGGTGAACAGCTGCAATAGCATCACCCCAAAGCTGTAAGTGTCCCCTGCTATCGAAGGTTTTGACCCCACTCCATACTCTGCATTGCATACGAAGTGTTTGTTAAATTGCCTGAACCACATTTCTTTTAGGCAGAATGATCATAGTTGTGAGAAAGCTGTGTGTATATATTTACCTGGAGGAATGTACCCAATGGACCCTTTGATGAAGTTGCATGAGCTAATGGGAGCCTTATGGTCGCCCGCCATTTGCTCTATCAGCAGCCTGGCGAGTCCAAAGTCTCCAACTTTAGCCGTCATGTCTTGGTCTAATAAGATGTTGCTGGGTTTTAAGTCGCAGTGTACTACGGGGACTTGGCAGCCATGGTGTAGGTAATCTAGGGCGCTGGCAATATCAATAGCTATGTTCAGTCTCTGTAGCAGAGTCAACCGGTCTCTCTTTTCACCATCTTTGCCAGCTTGTAGCCAGTCTGCAAGACTCCCATTCGGTAGGAACTCGTAGACTAGAGCCCAGAATTCTTGGTTCTCGGAGTCCCAGCTCGAGCATGTCGTGACCAGCTTCACAATATTCCGGTGCCTCACATTGCTTAGAGCCTTGCACTCTGCCAGAAAGCTGTCCCTTGAGCCAGTTCTTTTCACGTTCAGTGCCTTGACTGCCACCACGCTGTTATCCGACAATTTTCCTCTGTAAACTGTTCCGAATCCACCGCTTCCCAGCAGATTCTCGCTGCTAAAGTTTTCTGTTGCTCGGCGGAGCTCTTCGAACGAGACCAGCTGATGTTCGTCCCCCTCTAGGTTGCCAGTGGCTTTTGCTGTATGCTTTCTTAGGTAGACCCAAGTGACAAGGTAGAAGCACAAAGCTAGTGTTGCTATAACTGCAACACTAACATAGATCGCCATTAGTTTCTTGCTACTAGATCCACCAACTTTCTTACAGGACTTAGAAAGGGAAAGCAGCTTCGGGTTGCCTTCAAACCGGACTTTTGAAAGTGTTTTGCTACAAGTATCTGCCTCCAAGTTATTGAACGAAAGGTCCAAGAACTGAAGAACCTCTAGGTGGAGTAGCTCTGGAGGAATGACACCAGAAAGATTGTTGTAGGACAGGTCTAGGACTTCCAGTCCTTTCATTTCTCTTATAGTGCTTGGAATGTTTCCTGACAGTGAATTTTTTGCCATGAACAGCCGGACTAGGCCCTTGCAATTTCTGATTGAGATTGGAATGTTGCCTGACAGGAAGTTGGAAGAGAGATCGATGGTGACAACATTGTGTAGAAGCCCCAAATCTTCGTTCAATTCCCCAGTTAGGTAGTTGTGAGACAGATTCAAAGCTATGCTCAAGCTAGGGAGAGAGAAGACTTCTTTTGGTATGCTTCCATTCAACCTGTTGCTAGATAAATCCATGGAAACGAGGCTGTGGAAATTCCCAAAACTCGATGGAATTCTGCCCAATAGTTCATTTCTCGACAGGTCAATCACATTCAGCCTTTGGAGCGTACCAAATGAATCTGGAATCCTTCCTTGGATTCTATTCCCAGCCAAGATCAACTCTTGCAAGTTCTCTAACTGCCCAATTTCATCCGGGATTTGTCCGGTGATTGCATTATAGCTGATGTTCAGTAATGTCAAGCCATGAAGACGGGCAATCGAGGACGGTATACTCCCATGAATTCGATTATCTCCCATGTACAATAGGGTCAGATCTTTCGAAAGATTCCCTACTGATTCTGGAATCTCGCCCTCGAAAAGGTTTTCATCAATGGCAAGGAGTTTCAGTCGGGTGCTATTGGTCAAAGAAGTGATGAATCCAAGACCATCAGCGCCTGAACTTGCTATCCTGTTGCCACGAATGTTATACATTTCCAGGAATGGAAGATTCCCCAAACCTGGTGGGACGGTTCCTTCCAGAAGATTATGAGCCATTCTAATGACCCGCATATTGGTCAGATTGTGCAACGAACCAGGAATCCCTCCAGTGAACCTATTGAAGCAGAACCTGAAGACGAGAAGATTTGGAAGTGTCTCCCCAACATTTCCAGGTATTGTACCCCATAGCTGGTTGGAAGCCAATGCTAAATAGGTTAAAGAAGACATGTTGTAGATGGTTGAAGGAACCGTACCAGTGAGTTCATTGATGGTCAGATCAAGAACTTCCAAGCTTCGCAGAAGACTCAATTCCCCAGGAATCGACCCGGAGAAGGAATTCGTGCTCAAGTGCAATTCCACAAGTGACGTGATATTCGATATGGAAGCAGGAATCGGACCCGAGAGAAGATTACTCCCCAAGTTGAGAACTTCAAGATGGAGAAGCGAGCCCAGTTGATTTGGAACCCAACCCGTGAATGAATTCATCGACAAGTCCATAACTTTAAGCTCTGCCAACCTGCTTACGTTCCCCGGGATAGAACCTTCCAACCTGTTGGAACTCATGTTCAGAACCCTCAGCCTAACAAGGCTGCTGATTTGGTCAGGAAGGTTTCCTGTGAACTGATTGTTGTGAAGCTCAAGCGACTGGAGAAACGACAGGTTGCCTATGAAAGGGGTGATCGTCCCGACCAGACCCAAACCGGATAGACCGAGGGCCACCACTCGACTCCCACTCGCGTCGCAGGAAACTCCGGTCCAGTTGCAAGGAGAAGAAGATGAAGCTTGGCCGTCGTCCCAGGAAGAGAACAAAGCAGGGGATTGAGATGATACCTGAGACCTGAACGCCAGCAAGGCCTCCTTGTCTGTGTCAATACTGGTCGGACCAGCTGCCGCCTGGGAAACGGAACTGAGCAAGAACCAAAAGAGGAAGGCGGCGGAGCTCATCTCCGTGGGTTGTTTTGGGGGGCTCTATTCGCTGCTCTGTGCTGATTGTTGACGGCAATAATTGCAGTATCCAAGAATGGAAATGTTGCTGAGATCAATCATCAATGGATGGGCACGTGAAAGCCGTAACAATAGTATAAAATTCGTCCAACTTGGTGGTCATGACTGATGATAATATAAAATTTAGGCCAATTTGTGGAGTGGAGAATCTAAGAATGGTTTCTCCCCTGGCCTTTTTGGCTTGTTCCAGGAAGTTAATGGGGTAGTTAGCTAATGAGCTTTTTCCCTGATTATGAAATTTCGAGAGTAAGACGGCCTAGAGGCTAGAGGAGAAGTTTGACTGACTGCCTGTTGCTTTTTTTTGAAACTGGTTGATAGTCCACTATTTGGCACAAAGGCATCTTCAAAGGCACTTTCATTTCTGGGACTTGTCAAATTGGTCAGTCAACATTCAGTTATCCTGAAAAAGGTAAAACAGTTACAGTGTTTATGCTCGGATAAGCTCTTTCCTGGAAAGTTAAGATACATGTTTCAATGAAAAGTCTGATATAATATTTTGAGAGCTTGCTAGTCAAGGATTCGGATTGCTTTGGAATTTGATTAATTTAGGTGGGAAGAATTTCATACTATCGTTGGTAATGGGGCAAGTCCGGGGCGGTTACCACGATACTCATACCCGTTCCGTGACATGTCGGGTCTAGGTTGGGTAAATTATCATGGATCGCGGGTCAGGGCAGGTCGACCCAATGAGTATGCAATTTATATGGAAAACATTAGAAATATTCGTTAATTTCATTATAAGACCAAGAAAACAAACCATATTATGATAAATGTAGTTAAATTATTGGAGAAATTGAGGTTTTCATTGATTTACAATGGCTAAAATATTATGTAAAAAAGGAAAAATCCTAAGTAATTTGACTAAGATCGCATGTAATTTAGGCAAGAACGGGTCGAGAATGGGGTGGGTCAGGACAGGCGGGGTCGATGAGAATACCCATGCCCGCCCCAAAATAGGCCAAACAGGTAAGGTAAAACAGGTCTGGTCGAAATTGTTATCCTTAAATAGGGCGACATAGCATACTTTAATCACCATAAGTAAAATGTGATGAGTTGCATCTATTTTAAAAAAAAGTATATCAATCTTCTTTATTTAAGACATGGGCTACATTTTATGACTTCTGTTTCGGGAGCTCGACCACTCGATAATTTTGAACACAAGGTACAAATGTATCAAATTTTGAAGATATTGTATATATTAACTATAATTATAAAAACACTGAACCGTATTGTATCTGTGCAATTGCCTCTAGCCTAGCAGAGTTATTGATGGTTTGAGGTGGAAATAAGTTGGAAATTGATAATTACTATTTTTGGTGATGACTTATTTATGTTGAACATATTGAGGCACAAATTTTGAGTTTAGATAATATTTTTAATGCTTCTAATCATGGCAAATAACATTGTGTGATTAACTGATTATGAATATTCGAGATGTGAAAACTAAAGAAGTTATCCAAAATTTTGGACTCTTCTCAACAAAATAAAACTCCTTAGTTCTTCCTCTCTTATTCAAAGTTCACTTTTGCTCACTAATTTTCGTAAAATTGTACAGCCCACTCAGGAAAGTAACACGTATCGTTCATGGCTAGTATTTTTTTTTTTTTTTTGTCAGGGTGGCCCCCCTTCTTTGTGGGCTTTGATCTGTTGTCTATTTCGGGCCCAAATTTAAACAGAGCCCAAAAGGAGTTTATCCTCCAAAATAGTCAAACAAGAAAGTAACACGTATCGTCCACCGGCTATTACTTTCGCTCTCGAGACCATCTCGCGCTCGCACCGCTGCAGTCAACATCTCTTCTCGCGGCTAGGAGCTTCCGCAGTGCGTCTCTAATGGTGATCCGGCCTTCAGGCAACTCGGCGGCGCAAGACAGCCCGACCCCGATAATCTGCACCAGACATCGCTCCGTCTTCACCACACCCAATTCTTCGTCGTCGTCATCGTCATCGGATACGCCGTTGTTCAATCCGGCAACCGCCTCCGGATGCACCACTCTCAACACGTTTTCCGGGAACTCCGATTCCACCCACCCGATCAGCGTCTGGTTTCTCTCCGACAAGCTCGCATCCGTCGGGCTCTTCCCCGTGAATAGCTCCAGCAGCATCACTCCGTAGCTGTAGGTGTCGCCCGCTGTCGACGGCTTTGAGCCCAGGCCGTATTCTGTTTTAAAATGCAGGCGAGTTGTTTGATTAAATTCCTCAATGAATTCTACGATGTATGAGGTTTTAATGGAAGAGTTTCAAATTTTTTTACCTGGAGGTATGTAGCCAATGGAGCCCATGAGGCCATGGAGGGAGCTGATGGAAGATTGGTCGCCCATTTTCTCTATCAGCAACTTGGCGAGCCCAAAATCTCCCACTTTCGCCGTCATGTCTTGATCCAGCAGAATGTTGCTCGGCTTCAGATCGCAGTGTACTACGGGGACTTCGCAGTCATGGTGAAGGTAATCGAGAATGCTGGCGACATCAATGGCTATGTTTAGTCTCCGCAGCAGATTGAACCCATCTCTGTTTATTCCAGGCTGTAACCGATCGGCTAGGCTCCCATTGGGAAGGAACTCGTACACCAGAGCCCAGAAATCTTCGTTCTTATGATCCACGCTTGAACATGTTGTGATCAGCTTCACAAGATTTCGGTGCTTCACATTTCTCAACGCCTTGCACTCTGCAAGAAAGCTGCTCCAAGAGCCTGTCTTTCCCACGTTCAGCACTTTGATTGCTACAGCTGTATCGTCTGCTAGCTTGCCTCTGTATACTGATCCGAAGCCACCATCTCCAACCAGATTCTCCCTGCCAAAGTTGTCTGTTGCTCGACGGAGCTCATCGTATGAGACCATCTGGTGTGTTTCTTTCAACAGGCCAGAAGCGTGAGTGACTTTTTGTCTGTTCTTCTTCCTCATATAGTAGAATGAACCAATGGAAAAAAACAATGCCGCTGTTGTTGCAACTGCACTGATAATAAGGACTGTCACCAGTCGATTAGATCGACCATTCTGGCAAGATAGTGAGAGGGGAAGTTTTGGGTTGCCTTCAAACTGGACTCTCGAAAAATTTGCATGTGCTCCCCTACAAGGATTTACTTCGAGGTTATTGAATGAGATGTTGAAGGTCTGAAGCGCTTGCAGGCTGAGGATTTCTGGAGGAATGATGCCTGACAGCTGGTTATATGACAGGTCCAGGACTTCCAGGCCTTTGATCTCTCCTAAGCTTCCAGGAATTGAGCCAGAGAATATGTTTCTTGCCATGGCCAATCTCTCCAAGCTCGTACAATTCCTGATTTCATCAGGAATACTGCCAGAGAGAAGATTGCTGGAAAGATCAATCGAGACGACATTCTGTAGAAGCCCAACATCTTGGTTTAATCCCCCACTGAAGAAGTTGTTAGCTAGATTCAAGATAATGCTCAAGCTTCGGAGAGAGAGGACTTCTCTGGGTATGCTTCCATTGAGCCTATTGTTGGATAAATCCATGGAAGCAATGCTACTGAAGTTCCCGAAACTCGATGGAATTCCACCCACCAGTTGATTTCTCGACAAGTCAATCAGGTTCAAATTTTGGAGATTGGCAATTGAATCCGGAATGGCTCCTGAGATTCGGTTTCCAGCCAAATTCAACTCCTGTAGGTTCTCTAACTGGCCAATTTCATCTGGGATTTCATCACTGATGGCGTTGTAGCTGATGTTCAGTAATGTCAACCCCTTAAGACGACCAATTGATCCCGGTATAGCGTCATGAATCCGGTTTGTCAAGAACCAGTTGCTCCCAATAACTCGAGTTGTTGGAAGAAGGTTATGCTGGATCTTATACCACTCTCTAACACGCCCCCTCAAACGAAAGCCAACCCACGGGCTTGAAGTTTGCACAGGCCCACCATACCATGTGCTTGAAAGACAACGGTTAATATTGGGGGTCGTGGAGATTTGAACACATGACCTTTTGGTTCGAGGCTCTGATACCATGTCAAGAACCAGTTGCTCCCAATAACTCGAGTTGTTGGAAGAAGGTTATGCTGGATCTTATACCACTCTCTAACACGCCCCCTCAAACGAAAGCCAACCCACGGGCTTGAAGTTTGCACAGGCCCACCATACCATGTGCTTGAAAGACAACGGTTAATATTGGGGGTCGTGCTACACCTTCGGTCTAAGTTCGCACTCCGTGATCTTGGGCAGCTGTCTTATTTCCTCGGCTTGGAGGTCCACTACACTTCTGATGGTCTTATTCTCAATCAACGGAAATACATCCTGGAACTGCTGGCTAGGTCAGGTATGTCTCAGTCGAAGTCTTTTACCACACCCTGCACGGCTGACCAGCTGATCCACAGTGCATCCGACGTCTCTCCCGCCTTTCATGATCCAAGTTTTTACCGGAGCATTGTGGGTGGCCTTCAGTACTTGAGTTTTACCCGGCCCGACATATCCTTTGCTGTCAACCATGTGTCCCAATTCCAGCAATGTCCGACTGATGCTCATTGGACAGCAGTAAAGCGAATTCTCCGATATCTACAGGGTACGCTCACTCAGGGTCTCCTTTTTCAACGATCCTCCCAGCCACAGCTCCATGGTTATTCCGATGCATCTTTTGCTTCCTGTCCCCGCGATCGTAAGTCCATCTCTGGTTATGCAGTCTTCTACGTCAAGAATTTGGTTTCCTGGTCTACACGGAAGCAGCAAGTTGTTGCTCGATCCTCCACCGAATGTGAATATCGGGCTCTCGCCACGGTCGCCTCTGAAGTAGTTTGGCTTCAAGCTCTTCTCACTGAGCTCGGACAGTCCACTTCAGCCCCTGTACTTTGGTGTGACAATCTGGGAGCCACTTATCTCGCTCATAATCCAGTTTTTCATTCTCGCTCGAAGCATCTCGAGATCGAGTTTCACTTTGTCCGTGACAGAGTCAATAAGCAGCAACTCCATGTGCGCTATCTACCAGCCACCGATCAGCTTGCAGACGTACTCACGAAGCCTCTGTCTCGTCTTCCTTTCCGGACTTTCTGCTCCAAGTTTCACCTCGTTGAGGTTCCACTTGCGGGGGCGTGATAAGTAAGAGTATTAAGTGGAACAGAATAGATTCTCCACAATGTTACCGTTTGAGTGTTTCCTTCTTTGTAGCAACCTCTGCGTAGGTTTTGCTATTTCTGTTTCTGCTGTACTTGTATAAAACCCATTGTTCAGTAATGTAAACTTAGATTTCCAGATTCACTTACACGGTTCCCTCCCATATATAACTTCTCCAGCCCCTTGGACAAATTTCCCACAGATTCAGGAATCACTCCTTCGAAGAAGTTGCCGTCAATTGCAAGGAACTTCAGACGGGTACTGTTGGTTAAGGAAGTGATGATTCCAAGACCATCATCACCCGAGCTCGCTAGTCTATTGAAACCAATATTGTACATTTCCAGGAGTTGCAAATTCCCCAGACCTGGAGGGACAGTCCCTTCCAGGAGCATATGCGCCATTCTGATGATCCTAATGTTGGTGAGATTGTGTAATGAGGCCGGAATAGCCCCACTGAACTTGTTGAAGCAGAAATTGAAACCCCAAAGGTTGGGAAGTGTCTCCCCTATATTGCTAGGAAGTTTACCCCGCAGATCATTTGATGCTAAGGCGATGTATCTAAGTTAAGACATGTTGAATATAGGAGGAGGAACTGTACCAGTGAGATTGTTTATGGTGAGATCAAGCATCTGCAGACTTCGCAAACGGCTCATATCTGATGGAATCGCACCGCTGAGAGAGTTGGTCCCCAAGTTCAAGTCGACCAGCGAGGAAAGATTGGATAGAGCAGCTGGTATCGGACCATAGAGACGATTTCTCCCCAGGTTCATGACTTGGAGACCCGGTAGCAACCCGAGCTGGTCAGGTAGCCTTCCATTGATTCTGTTCATCGACAAGTCCAAGTTTCTGAGCCCTGCCAGCCTGCTAATGTTCGTTGGTATCGAGCCATCCAAGCTGTTGGAGCTCAAGTTGAGAACCCTTAGACGAACGAGATCGCAGAGTTGGTTTGGAAGGCTTCCTGTCAGCTGATTGTTCTGAAGCTGCAGGGAGCGCAAAAACGAGAGGTTGCCTATATGAGGGCTGATTGAACCAACCAAGCCCGAGCTGGAGAGAATGAGACCTATCACTCTCCAGCCGAATCTGTTGCAGGAAACTCCTTCCCAGTTGCAAGGAGAAGGTGAGGTTTGGTTCCAGGAAGGCAGGGCATCTGTGAACTGTGAGCTAATTCCAGACTTGAAAGCCAGCATGGCTTCTTTGTCTGTCTCTATATTGATTGATGGAGCAGCAAACTGAGCCATTGTGGCTACAATCTGCAGCGAAAGGATCAAACAGGTGAGGGAATTCATTTTATGGATGAGTTGCAGGGAAATGGATGAATTGATGTGTGCCATTTATAGCCTGTTGTTGAACAGGTAGGAAGTGGGGTTTGAGAAAGGACTGATTGGAATTGGAATTGATGGTGCCGACACCGTGTGAGCAAATTGACTACAGTCGCCGACTTTCGAGCTTGTATGATACGTTGTGCCTTCATCGCAATTTGCCTTGAATGATACGTTCGAGCTTGTTGAAGATTTCTGCTCTGGTGGCACAATTCTAACCTCGTTCGCTGTAAGTGGGTAACCATTTGTTGGTTAAGAATCAATCTACTCTTCCAAATAGAGGTGAAAAATTCAAAGTTGATCCAAGGAATTCCACAAATTGGAATTTGAGCACATTGGACTACTCAACTTGAGGTCACTTCTGTGACAAATCACACAAATTTGCAGAAGTGGGCACTGAGATGACTGAGTCTGAAGCCTGAAGGCTACTAGTAGCAGTAGGTGGTGTGGAAAGAGTGAAAAATAAGGAACTGAAAATGGATCTTTGAAAGTCGATGCTCTTTCATTATCATACCAGAAGAAAGGTTAGAAAATGGGAAAAGCAAAACTTCATGTGGTGTCAAGTTCGGATTGCGCTGGGCTCAACTTATTGGACTGGGTTAAAGTTTAGACCTGACTAAAATTTTAGTTCGGCCCAGCGCAATTTAAAACCCAATTACACTCTCTCTCTCTCTTTTTTTACAGGAAAAACAAGTCGTATCTCAAGTCGAAAATCTTCCGAGTCTCATGTCTGGGACATCTGGTTTAAGATGGAAATGGCAAGAAGTCTGTCAGATGTTAAAATCTAGAAAGATTCTTTAACAATGAAGTCAGATGTGAAATTGTAAATTGTAGGAGATGAGATCATGAGGGTGGTCAACAGTTTAAGGAATATAAGCATTAAGTGTTAGGATATAGGATTAAGCGGGTTGATGAACAATTATCATTGTAGGGAGAATATATGACATGTATGTCCCTCCCCTTCTTTTCCTATATTTTCATTTCATTTAATATACCAAACATTGTTATCTCGTGTACCTAAGCACATCTAAGCGTTCGAGTCTTGTGTCTAGTACGTAGTCAAATGTTAAAATCGAGAAAGATCTTTTAAAGATCAAGTCAGAACTCAGAAGTGCAAAATGTCATGTTTCTTGTCACGATATTCTAAGTATGTAACCAACAAGCCAATATAGTTGAATTTTGTGTCTCACAGTTAGCGTCTCTTTTTTTAGTAAAAGTCCGGTGATTCATCATTTCCCACCTACTCGTACTCACATTTGGACCCGAATATCTTTAAATAGATTGTCTTTGCTTTGCGTAACATCTCTCCGCCTCCATTTCTCTCTTGGTTGGGGTGTTGCCAAAACGGCACTAATTCTATTCCATGAAACAGTCGGTCCTTGCAGAGACGTTGTCCAATCATAGTTAGATAGCAAAGAGAGACAACATCCAAAATACATGGTTCTAAGAAAGAAAGAAGGAAGG